TTCTGCCTCCCTGGAATAACCACTTTCTTGAGTTTCATGGTAATTGCTGCTTTTTTGTTGTTGTTTAAATATTTTTATTTTGAGGTATGTTTGGCATATAACTGTACATAGTTAAACTGTGCAGTTTGATAAGTTTTTACACATGTATACACTCATGAAAACGTCACCACTGTAAAGGTGATAAACATATTCATCACCGCCCCACCACCCTGAAAAAATTTCCTCATGCCTCTTTGTAATATCTCCCTCCCTCCACCCACCTGAAGCAACCACTAATCTGCTTTCAGTCAGTAGTTTAATTTTTAGAATTTCTCTAGGATTTTATATTAACAGAATCATATAGTAGGTACTCTTTTTTTGCCTGGTTTCTTCAACTTGGCATAATCAACACATTGCTGCATATATTGATAGTTAATTTCACTTTATTGTCAAGTAGTAGTCTGTTGTTTGGATGTATCACAGTTTATTTATCCATTCATCTGTCCATGAAACATTTGGGATGTTTTCCAGTTTATGGCTGAAACAAACAAAGCTGCTGTGAATATTTATGTACAAGTTTTTATACTGACGCATGCTTTCCATTTCTCTTGGGTATTTATCTAGGGGTAGAATGGCTGGGTCATGTGATAAGTATATGTTTTAACTTTTTAAGAAACTGCAGGCTGTTTTCCAAAGTGTTCGTACCATTTTACATTCCCACTAGAAGTGTTTAAAAGTTCTAGTTGCTTTGCATCCTGGCCAACACTTGGCATGGTTAGTCTTATATTTAATTATATTTTGCACTTCTAATAGGCATGTAGTGATATCTCATTGTGGTTTTAGTTTTCATTTCCCTATTGACCACTAATGTTGAACATCTCTTCTTATGCTTATGCCATCCATATAGATTCTTTGGTAACGTGTGTTTGAATTTCTGCCCATTTCTTCCTTGGGTTGTTTTTATATTGCATTTTGAGAGTTTTTTGTATATGTCAGATACAAGTCTGTTAACAGATATGTCATTTGCATATTTATTCTCCATTCTGTGGCTTGCCTTTTCATTCTCTTAGAAGTGTCTTTCAAAGAGCAGAGGTGGTAAATTTTGATGAAGTCCCATTTATCATTTTGGGTTTTTTTTTTTTTTTTTTTTTTTTTTTTTTTTGCCTTTTTCCATCTTTTTATTATGATAATTTTCAAACAGACAGAAAAATTGAAAGCATTGTTTAGGAAGGAAATGCTTAAGCACTCAACATACTGTTTTATAGCTAGTTTTTCTCATTCAGTAATATTTAGTAAAGATCTTTCTATGTGATTTTAGAAGCATCGTCACTTTTTATAAAAAAAAGCATTTCTATCACCTTAATCATTTGTCATTTATTTGTGTTGGGAACATTCATAATTATCTTTTTATTTTATTTTTTTAATGAATCATGCTCTTTGGTGTCATGTCTAAGAAATCTTAGCCTAATCTGAGTTCATAAAGATTTTTTCCTCTGTTTTCTTCCAGAAGTTTTAAGATTTTAGGTTTTACATTTAGATTTATGATCATTTGAATTAATTTTTGTATGTGAAATGACTTATGGATCAAAGTTTTTTTCTTTTTCTAGCATATGGATAGCCAGTTGTTCTAGGTCTATTTGTGTATACAAGTACTTGTACTGTCCTTTTACAATATTGACATTTGCTCACATTTCTCTTGGATAAATACCTAGAAGTAGAATGGCTACATCACACTGTAGTGAGTCTATAGCTGGACTCTATTCTGTTTAATGAATTGATCTGTCCATCTTGATGCCAACACTATAATGCCTCGATTACTGTAGCTTTATAAGTCTTCAAGACTTGGAGTATAAGTATACCAACTTTGTTCTTTTTCAAAGTTGTTTTGCCTATTTTACATTCTTTGCATTTTAAAGAGAATTTTAGAAACAGCATGGCAACCTCTGCACAAAAATCTCCTGGGATTTTGATTGGGATTGCATTGATTTTGATTGGGATTTATAGGCCAATTTGGGGAGTGCTAACATTGTAACAATACTGATTCTTGTGAATCATGAACATGGAATATCTCTCCATTTATTTAGATATTATTTAATATCTCTCAGCAGTGTTTTGGAATTTCAGTTTACAGGTCTTGCAAATTTTTTGTGAGATTTTTCCCTGTTTATTTTTCTCCTCTCTTCTCTTACTCCTCCCCTCCCCTCTCTTCTCTTCTCTTCTTTTTTTGCGGCTGCCCAATACAGGTATCTGAACCTTTGAGCTTGGTGTTATCAGCACCGTGCTCTAACCAGATGACATAACCAGCCAGACCCTTTAATGCCATTTTCAATGGTATTTAAAATTTTTTTAAAATTTCCAAATGCTTATTGCTAGTATATAGAAATACTGTTGACTATTGTATATTGCATGTCACTTTCATTCACATTCCATTGTCTAGAACTCAGTCACATGAACCTAGAACCTAGAACCCTGCTGCAAGTTTGGCTGGGGAATGTTATTATTTCGCCATCTTTCCACCTTCATGTGAAGCGAATCATTGTGGAGGAATACTAGAGTCCTGCAAAAAGTTCATGGAAATATTCACATTATCTTTTAATTATTTTTATCCACGAACTTTTTGAAGTACCCTTGTAGATAGACTCACTGGTGGAAGATAATGAAAAATGTAATAAAATCAAGAATATTCAAGTATTTGCCATTTGGTAAAGGTGACATTCCAAAATTGCTGGGATGAACGTGGAGTTGTAATTTAAGACAAGAATCCTAACAACAATGTAGACATTTTAAGTTTGAGAAACCTATTAGATTGGGGAAATGTCTGGGCTAGAGATAAAAATTTGGGTGTCATCTACTATAGATTAAATAATGCACGAGACTGAATGACCACCAAAAGACAGAGTATAGGGCCGGCCCAGTGGCTCACTGGAGAGTGCGCCGCTTGGGAGTGTGGCGGTGCTCCCGCCGAGGGTTCGGATCCTATGTGGTGACCGGTTCCCTCTCACTGGCTGAGCGTGGCGCGGGCGCAACACTGAGGGTTGCGATCCCGTTACTGGCCAGTAAAAAAAGAGACAAAAAGGAAAAAAAAAAAAAAAAAGACAGAGTATAGATAGTGAAGTCCAAGAACTGAGCCCTAGGTACTTCCAAGTTCATAAATTTAGCAAATGAAGAAGTAGCAAAGGAGACTAAGAAAAAGTAGTCTGTGGATTAGGAGGAAAATCAGTGTGGGAAGTAGTCAAGTGAAGAAAATTTTTCAAGGAGAAAGTAATCTCTGTGCCAACTGTTAGGTCACATAAGATGAGAACTGAGGGGCCGGCCCGGTGGCGCACTGGAGAGTGCGTCGCTTGGGAGTGCGGCGGTGCTCCCGCTGAGGGTTCGGATTCCATGTGGAGACCAGTTCCTGCTCACTGGCTGAGCACGGTGCGGGCGCAACACTGAGGGTTGCGATCCGTTGTCGGTCCCCGGTATGGATGCGACACCGAGGGTTGCGATCCCGTTACTGGTCAGTAAAAAAAGACAAAAAGGAAAAAAAGAAAAAAAAAACAAAAACGATGAGAACTGAGAATTGACCATTCAGTTTAACAGTGTGGAAGCCATTGGTGACCTTGACAAGAACAGTTTCAGGGTGTTATGGAGGTAAAAGACTGATTAAAGGGATTCAAGAGAAAATGGGAGGAAAAGAATTGGAGAGAGCAAGGATAGACAACTTTCAAGGAGTTTTGCTCTAAAGAGAAGCAGACAAATAAGGTTGTAGCTGTGGAGGGCTTGCTGCTCAAGAGAGGATTTTGTTGTTAAGATTAAAGAAATTGCAAAATGTGTGTATACAGAGTGATAGAGTAAAGAGCTAGATGATGCGAAAGAGGGAAGAGTTGCTGGAACCTTATTTTTGATAGTAAGAGAGGATGGGATCTTAGTTACACAAGTGTTGGGGTGTTAGATGAGTAGACAGTTTACCCATCATAACAGGAGGGAAGACAGAACAGGGGCACAGTTGCTGGTAGGTGGATAGGTGTGGCAGGCGATTAACTTCTCATTTTATTGCTTCTGTTTTCTCAGTGTAATAGAAAGTAGGGAGAATGGGGGAGAAAGAATGAAATAGTCATCTAGGAGAGAAATGTATTATCATTGACAACACTAAAGGCTGTTTTGAGGTCAGTGGTCATGAACTTAAAGTGAAAACCATCACTTAGTTTTTATTTTTCCCTGCTCATGTTTGACTGCGTGGGTGCAGGCCCAGAGTAGGGTTAGGTTTTGTCAGGCTGCTTTGAGAAAGTGAGAGAGGGCAAAAGAGTGAATTGAAGTGACTTAAGAGGGAAGTGAGGACATGGGGTGATGAGGGATAGGGCAAGGGTGGTAGGGTCAGCCCCAGATTGAAGAATTGTAAGCGTTGGGGTATGAGAGAGAATGAACTGAAAAGGAGTAGGTGGTGATGCTAGGTGGGATGCTTGATTTGAGAATATAAAGGGGTTTTAGTCATGACCAGGCAAATGCTGTAAGTGGTGGAGAGGAAGTGAAAGAACTGGAAGGCCAGGATATTGGAAGGATTGTCTATGTGGAAACTGATTTTGTGCTCAGAACCTGAAGGCCTTTGCTATTATTGTCTCTTGTCCTTTGTTGCTGCTGGACTGTCTGATAAGCTTTAGGCTTCTTTGTTAGTAAGAATTCCATGTCTCTTCTTTCATAGTTTCTGTTTCTTAGTTCTCAGTGCACTATGAGATTTCTTCAGTACTACCTTTCATTTTTTCTATTGCATTTAAAATTTTTTCCATTGTATTTCTAATTTTCAAGAGTTTTTTCTTGTTTCTGATTAATTTTTCATAGCATCCTTTTCTAGAAACAAATTTAGTTTTTGACAGTGGCATGATTTGTTATAATACATATAATTCGTGCATCAGACTATGGTTCTTTTTCTCCATTAAGTTATATCTGCTCTCAAGCATTATATTTTTACATATGACCTTTTTTTCTAAGTGAGAAGATATATTCGGTTATGTAGTAAACTTTTAAATATCTCTTCACTTTAGGTATCAAAAAATAAAGATGGGAAAGAAGAAAGTGAAACTGTATCACCGTCCGAAGATGAAACATTCTCCTGGCCAGGTCCCAAAACAGTCACGTTGAAAAGAACATCTCAAGGCTTTGGTTTTACATTAAGGCATTTTATTGTTTATCCCCCCGAGTCTGCAATTCAGTTTTCCTATAAGGTAAGAGAAATGATTAAAGTAACTTGAAAAAAACACAAGGCAATTCCTCTCTCCCTCTTGTCTTCCTCTCCCCCTTCCTTCCTGCCTTTTTTCTATCTTAAAAGAATTGTTATATTTGCATTTTTATTCTTTTCCTTCTCGTACATATTTTTCCATCGTTCAGAACAGAAACTTTGTCTTCTCTGAAAGATCATACCTATTCTAAACTCCAAATCTATTTTTCAAGACTTTTAGATCTCGTTCTACTTTCTCTAATATGTAACTGTTTTTCTACTATCCAAAAAGGTGGTGAGTTTTCTGGGCAGAGTATGCAGAGGAAGTAGTTTGTTAAAATATTCTACCGGTTATAGAAAATGAGTTGGATTAGAACAATACTTAAATTTCATATATGTAATATGAGGTATAATTGTTAACACATTGGAGCCATTGCAGTCCAAAGAAATTGGGTTTGAGTCCCATCTCTGCCTCTTGTTAGCTCTGTGACCTTGGATAAGTCACCTAACAGACCTTCCTCACAGGTCATGTGATGATTAAATGATACAGTACATCTAAAACGCTTAGCACAGGAAGTGACATATGGTAATTACTCAGTAAATTTTAGCTATTAAAGCTATTATGTAATATAGATGTTCTTGCAAATAGGTCTCAGCCTTGTAAATTTTACATGGAAAATATATATGTTATTGGAATCTTTTCCATTTCAATTACGAAATTTTATCAATTCACTTCAAAGGAATTTTTTAAAAATTTAATATTCTATAGCCTTTAGAAAATGTGCAGTTAATACAACAATGTCTTTATTGTGTCACTTAACTGACAACCTTGTTAGTCTCAGAACAGAGCTTATAACCAGAAGAAGAAAAAAACAACACTTGGGCTGCCAAAGTAAAGGTCAAAGATTGTGTAATAAATTATCAGCACTTCACCAAATGTCTGTTTTTCATTCTGTGGTACCTGGTAGCTGCCATATGGTAGAGGCTCAGCAAATGTTTGAATAAATGTATTCACATACTGGTTTTTTAAGGTTGCTTTACTTATTTCCCATCTAGAGATAGATAACAGGGCTGCAAGACAGCCTGATAACAATGAGATACCAAACAGGCAAATAAGTAAACTTCAAAATTGAGTACAAGAACTTAAAAATGTAGTGATGTGGAACAAATCCATTTATATAGACAGTTCTGGGTCGTATGCCCCTAATGGCACATTTAAGCATAGGACTATAAGTGATGACCAGTGCTCTTCCACATTTTGGGCTCATCTATCCAATCGCCTACTTGACAGCTCCACTTGGATGTCTCTGTTAGCCATCTCATGCTCAACATGTCAAAAACTGAATTCCTTATGTCCTCCCCCTAAATTGGCTTCACCCACAGCTTTCACCTCTCTCTAAAGACTCCATCCTCTGGTAAAAGGCACTGTTAGTGAGATTGTAATTGGCACATTTTGGGGAGGTTGATTTGAATTAATTTGAACCTTGCTGTGACTTGACAAGAGTTTAAAAATGTGTATTCATGTACAGATATGTATTTTTTCATTTTGTAGGATGAAGAAAATGGAAATAGAGGAGGAGGTATGTTGTAAAAGTTTTAATTTTTCTTTGAATGTTTTTCTACCCCTATCTTTCTGTTCTTTAAGTAATATTAAATGAAATGACATAGTTTTTGGAGTTCAAATACATAACTCTTAAATGTGAGAGTTATAGAAAGTAAATGTTTTTATTGTAGACTTCTAAGTTTTGTGAATTCCATTGTCTCATTGCAATTTGAACATGTAATGATTTTATTGTTATTATCATTATGATTTTGAGGAAAAGAATTTTGAGATTTTTATTTTAATTAGTAACCTTTCTAAATTTAGTGATTCTTTTAGGTGAGGAATGTTGTGTGTTTCATCAGCTAGGTTTATTGACTCAAATATTGAAAAAAAGAGGATTTGGGTTCTTGTGTATAATCTCACTCTTGATATAAACATTATTTAATGATCTTAAAAGGAGAATCAGGCTGAGGATAGGGTTATTTCTTAATAACTCTGATTTATTTTTGTTTTAATTTTTTATTTTAAATCAATTTTAATGAGTTAAATTTACATCCAAAGTGTACCCATTAAAAATTTTTATTTCTAGATAATTTTAGACTTAAAAGAGTGGCAAGAATTAGTAAAGAGTTTTCATGTATCATTCATTCAATTTCACCTAATGTTAAAAAATTACATAACCATCACACAACTAACAAAACTAAGAAATTAGCATTCATATGAACAGACTTTATTTGGGTTTTACCAGTTTTTTCACTGGTGTCCTTTTTCAGTTCCACAATTCCACATTGCATTTAGTTGTCATGTCTCCTTAGTGTCTTCTAGTTTGTGACAGTTCCTCAGTCTTTCCTTGTATTTTATGGACCTTGACATTTTTGAAAAGTGCTGGTCAATTATTTGTAGAATGTTCTTCAGTTTGGTTTGTCTGGTGTTCTCATCATTAGTTCAAGAACATCACATTTGCACCTATTTTAAGTGTATAGTTGGGTGATTTTGACAAGTGTACAACCTGTGAAACCACTATCTTAAGATATGATATCAAAATAACTTTTCATCTCTCCATAAACTTCCCTTGTGCCCCTTTGCACTCTTCTGGCCCTAGACAATCACCAATCTGCTGTCTGTCACCACAGATTAGTTTTGCCTCACCTAGAATTTCTTATAAATGGAATAATATAATATGTATTCTTTCGTGTCTTTTTTGTGGCATAGTGTTTTTGAGGTTCACCATATTATATGAATGGGTGCTAATAGTAGTACTTTCTTTTTTTGGCTGAACAGTTTTGAATATACCAGAAATTGTTTATCCACTCACTTTTTGATGAACCTTTTAATACCCATACCTTGCCAATTTGGTTTGAGGTCTTGGAAAGGTTATGTTAAGGTTATGAGAGGAAAATGCTTTCTTCTAGCACTATCAAAAGTAATCTGAATAATCTGGTGTAGGACCAAGTAGGACCCTTTGTAGTTGTTACTTGGTACAAGATGGGCCACTCCTGTGTCACCCATCATCTGTCATGCACCAGCGTTCAGGATGAATTTTAAGTGCTACTTGGCATGGATTAAAAATAGGCTTTAGTGGGGAAAAGGGAAAGTTACAAAACCAGAGGGGTCCTCTATCCTCCCATTGTCCTCCAAGCTGATGTGCTTATGCCTGGGCAACCTGCTGAACATACAGCATGTAGAATTTCATGCCTGTCATTGGGTAAATGTACTTTTAATAAATGTAGAAGGATGTAGTTATAAAACATCATGCTAATTGTTATCTGTCTGACATGTCTTGCTGAAGTAAATGGACTTAGTTATGTGCTTTGACTGGGGAGAGTAAACTTAAGCATTTATAAGGGAAAACTAGAAGATCTAGGTCTAGCAGAAGGAAGATTTGGAGAGGAATGATAAAGTTGGACTAATGCGTATGATCTGATGAGGAAGATTACAATCTATTGTATTTATTTATTTATACCTAATCTCATTCAAAAAAAGGTTTGTGTCTACATGCAGAAACACGTATTATTGTAGGATAAAAAATAAGATTATAAAATGAATTGAATTGACATTTGGAAGATTTAGTACACATAAATTCATGCTGTAGGTTCTACACTGTTTTCAAAGATGGACTGTAAACGTGCTTTTGAGTTTTCCAACAGCCCAAGAAAAGGTGAAAATATGATTAATTAAGGATACACATACATAAGAAAACAACATCCTGTTTGCACTGAGATATGAGACAAATTTCTCCTATGGGCCCTCACAGTGGAAAACAAAGAGGAATAGTTGATAATGTCTTCAACACCATTCCTTCATGTGGCTATTTTCTTAAGTAATTCTTCAATGTAAGCTGATTTCAAAACTCCAAGGTCCCATTCAGCTTAAAGCACTTCTCAGCTGGGGTTGAGATTGCTCCCTAGGGGGTGTATGGTAATATCTGTAGTCATTTTTGGTTGTCACAATTTGGGGATGGTGAGTGTGCTGATGGCATCTATTAGGTAGAGGCTAGAGGTACTGTTGAACAGCCTACAATGCACAGGACAGCCCCCCACAACAAAGAATTATCTGGCTAAAAATGTTAGTAGTGCCAAGGTTGATTTCTCTGATTTAAAAGTGGTGGGCAGCAAAACAATGTAGTCCAAGTGTACAGGTCCCCAGGAATCTGGCTTGATACAGTGACAATATTCAGACCATTTATAAGAATGGATATTAAAGACTACATATCCAGTTATCTTTTATGATTATTATCTCTTACAAGTGAACTTTTGATCTGAATTGAGTCATTGTGGAACTACAGGTTAAATTATCTGGCTGCTGTACTGGCATTGTATGATATTGACTAAAGAATAGTCGTAAGTAAGAAAAAGGTTATATTTTAAGAAAATATAGAGTAAATATAATAACTAGAATATAAAATGGCTAAAAGAAAGAAGTCAACAAAGAATGTACATAATTGAGATGTAGTAAGAATTTAACATCAAAAATTTAATAGACTGAAGGAGAAAATAATTATAAGGTAGGTTAACAAAAAATTAAATCAATAAGTTAAAAGACTAATAGGGGAATTAAAAAGCACACAAAACTAAGGCTTTAAAGTAAGAGAAATAGAAATTCAAGTACCTTAACTCCTCTGAAGCAAAGTTCATCAAAGTAAGATATTTATAAAGTCCAGAAAATCTGTACCCTTTCTTCCTAAGAAGAGGAATATAAAAAGGTATGAGAGTACCTGAAGAAATTGTTTTGTAATATACTTGTAATATTCCTGGAAGGAGAACTGCTTGATTTAGGGGGTGAATGGGGTGGGAGGGTGGTGGAAATTAGTATATGATTGAGAACTTAATCTATACCAGCATCATAATATATGTTATCATCCTGTTAATCCTCACTTTAACCCTGTTAGGTGTGAGATAATATATCCATCTTGTAGATGAGGGAACTGAGGCTGAGAAAGAGGTAAACTAACTTACTCAAGAGCACACAGTAAGTGACAGAGCTGGACTTCCAAATTAGTTGTGTCTGACTCTGAAGTCCATCTTCTTTTAACTCTGCCATCTTACTTCCATTGACTTATTCTTAAATAAGTTCTTCCTTATTTCTTTTGTTTTGAAAATAATTCTGTCCTTTAAAAAATGGTTTGATTTATGTAGGGTTAAGAATTAGTAGATACATATAGGGTAGGTTTAGTATATTATGAAATTAACTCTGTAAACCCTGCATTGAGAAAGTTAAAAACAAGGAAACTTGTTTTATATTTGTGAACACCAAGAATTCACATATAAAGGTAAGGGAAATCCCAAGTTTAGAGGCCCTGAACACCTTATAGGAGCAACCATCACTTGTTACTTACTCAGTTCTGAATACTTGACTAGTGGTGGACTGAGAAAAGAGTTAGCAAGTTCAAGGAGTTACTAGTGCTCCTCCCAACTACCTTGCACATTTGCTTCCCAGGTCTAGGTTTGTTCTTGTCATTCCAATTGGTAGTTGAGGTGACAGTCTCATCCATAAAGTCCTGTTTAGCTTAAGTGTAATAGTCAGAATATCATTGCCACCAAAGTGATCAATCATTAGACCATCTTCTGTGTCAAAATTTTTCTTTTAACTTCTAAACAATTATTTATGTTTTTAGAGAGCTGGCCAGTTAACTCAGTTGATTAGAGTGTGGTATTGATAAAACCAAGGTCTTAGGATCTATCCCTGTACTGGCTAGCAAAAAAAATAAATAAATAAAAAGCAAACTTTTTGAGACAAACTACATAATTTGTTATTTTAATTCAACAAAATGTTAGGATTTTTATTTTATAGCCTCATTTCTTTTTAAAATTTATTTTCAAGGGTATTGAGATTATGAAATCCCTTTATGCAGAATTTTGTTTTAATGTAACAGAATTCCAGCCTCTAGTGTAATGATCAGAGTCAAAGCCTAGACTCACTGGAGAGAAAATAATTGCCAGAATTTTATTCAAACTCCTAAGAGATCCTGTTGTAATGCCAAGATTCTGTGAAACAGTTGAAAAGTTTTGTTTTGGTATTCTTTCCTTCTGGTAATTTAGTGAAATCTCCTTTGCCACTTAGTTTCCTGATTATCCTACATACCCAACTTCTTTGTTGGTTTCTTATATTCTTTATATGTGTACTCTCTTTTGTTTTTAAAATTATTTTTCCTTGTTGATTAGTTTTCTATACTATGATACAAATAATATTTATCAGAAAAAGGCCATGTAAGTAGAAAAATATTTTTTGGTGATAATATTTACTGTAGAAAATTGGTATCTTGCTGATATCCTGTTGTCCCTTAAATCTCTGGAGAAAGTTCTTCATAAATAATAAAAATAAGAATAATTGAAGGTCAGTAATTACTATTATAGTCATGCATCACTTAACGACTGGGTTACATTCTGAGAAACGCGTCATTAGGTGATTTAGTCATTGTGTGAACATAATAGAGTGTATTTAAACAAACCTAGATGGTATAGCCTATCATATATGTAGGCTATATGGTATATAGCCATTATAATCTAATGGGACCACAGTCAAATGTGTGGTCCATTGTTGACTGAAAC